GTAACTGGGGGTTGGACAACGACATGTGTATTAGACGTTACGTTACTGTAATAACTCAAACATTGGGGACTGGTAACTCGGGGTTGGACTACGACATGTGTATTAGACTTTACGTTACTGTAATAACTCAAACATTGGGGACTGGTAACTGGGGGTTGGACTACGACATGTGTAATAGACTTTACGTTACCGTCATAACTCAAACATTGGGGACTAGTAATTGGGGATTGGACTACGACATGTGTATTAGAATTACGTTACCGTAATAACTCAAACATTGGGGACTGGTAACTGGGGGTTGGACTACGACATGTGTATTAGACTTTACGTTACTGTAATAACTCAAACATTGGGGACTGGTAACTGGGGGTTGGACTACGACATTTGTATTAGACGGTACGTTACCGTAATAACTCAAACATTGGGGACTGGTAACTGGGGGTTGGACTACGACATATGTATTAGACTTTACGTTACCGTAATAACTCAAACATTGGGGACTAGTAACTGGGGGTTGGACTACGAAATATGTATTAGACGTTACGTTACCGTCATAACTCAAACATTGGGGACTGGTAACTGGGGGTCGGACTACGACATGTGTATTAGACTTTACGTTACCGTAATAACTCAACCATTTGGGACTGGTAACTGGGGGTTGGACTACGACATATGTATTAGACTTTACGTTACCGTAATAGCTCAAACATTTTGGACTGGTAACTGGAGGTCGGACTACGACATGTGTATTAGACTTTACGTTACCGTAATAACTCAAACATTTGGTACTGGTAACAGGGGGTTGGACTACGACATGTGTATTAGACTTTACGTTACCGTCATAGCTCAAACATTCGGGACTGGTAACTGGGGGTTGGACTACGACATGTGTATTAGACGTTACGTTACCGTCATAACTCAAACATTGGGAACTGGTAACTGGGGGTTGGACTACGACATGTGTATTAGACATTACGTTACCGTCATAACTCAAACATTGGGGACTGGTAACTGGGGATTGGACTACGATATGTGTATTAGACTTTACGTTACCGTAATAACTCAAACATTTGGGACTGGTAACTGGGGGTCGGACTACGACATGTGTATTAGACTTTACGTAACCGTAATAACTCAAACATAGGGGACTGGTAGCTGGGGGTTCGACTACGACATTAGTATTAGACGTTACGTTACCGTAATAACTCAAACATTGGGGACTGGTAACTGGGGGTTGGACTACGACATGCGTATTAGACTTTACGTTACCGTCATAACTCAAACATCGGGGACTAGTAACTGGGGGTTCGACTACGACATGTGTATTAGACGTTACGTTACCGTAATAACTCAAACATTGGGAACTGGTAACTGGGGGTCGGACTACGACATGTGTATTAGACTTTACGTTACCGTCATAACTCAAACATTGGGGACTGGTAACTGGGGGTTGGACTACGAGAGATGTATTAGACGTTACGTTACCGCCATAACTCTAACATTGGGGACTGGGGGTCGGACTACGACACATGTATTAGACGTAACGTTACCGTCATAACTCAAACATTGGGGACTGGTAACTGGGGGTTGGACTACGACATGTGTATTAGACTTTACGTAACCGTAATAAATCAAACATTCGGGACTGGTAAATGGGGGTTGGACTACGTCATATGACTCAAACATTGGGGACTGGTTACTGAGGGTTGGACTACTATTTAGCTAGACTTGACTCATTTTGTTTTCGAGTGTCATCATATTGATGGTTACCTCATTACAAGTAATGATACTCGAATGGATTGTTACTTCAATACAAGTGTTACGTTACCGTAATAACTCAAACATTGGGGACTGGTTACTGAGGGTTGGACTACTATTTAGCTAGACTTGACTCATTTTGTTTTCGAGTGTCGTCATATTGATGGTTACCTCATTACAAGCAATGATACTCGAATGGATTGTTACTTCATTACAAGTAATGACACTCGAATGGATGGTTACTTCAATACAAGTATTTATAACACTTGAATGGATTGTTACTTCAATACAAGTAATGACAATCGAATGGATTGATACATCAATACAAGTAATAACACTAGGATGGATTGTTACTTCATTATCAGTGATGATACTCGAATGGATTGTTACTTCATTACAAGTAATGATGCTCGAATGGATTGTTACTTCAATACAAGTAATGACACTCGAATGGATTGTTACTTCAATACAAGTAATGACACTCGAATGGATTGTTACTTCATTACAAGTAATGACACTCGAATGGTTTGTTACTTCATTACAAGTAATGATGCTCGAATGGTTTGTTACTTCAATACAAGTAATGACACTCGAATGGATTGTTACTTCAATACAAGTAATGACACTCGAATGGATTGTTACATCATTACAAGTAATGACACTCGAATGGTTTGTTACTTCATTACAAGTAATAATCTCGAATGGATTATTACTGCCTTACAAGTTATGATACGGGGAACAATTCTTAACCAGAGGAACAACTGCATNTGCCATACAAGTAATGATACTCGAATGGATTATTACTGCCATACAAGTAATGATACTCGAATGGATTATTACTTCATTACAAGTAATGATACTTGATGGATTGTTACCTCATTACAAGTAATGATACTCGAATGAATTGTTACTTCATTACAAGTAATGATACTCGAATGGATTATTACTGCCATACAAGTAATGATACTCGAATGGATTATTACTGCCATACAAGTAATGATACTCGAATGGATTATTACTTCATTACAAGTAATGATACTTGATGGATTGTTACCTCATTACAAGTAATGATACTCGAATGAATTGTTACTTCATTACAAGTAATGATACTCGAATGGATTATTACTGCCATACAAGTAATGATACTCGAATGGATTATTACTGCCATACAAGTAATGATACTCGAATGGATTATTACTTCATTACAAGTAATGATACTTGATGGATTGTTACCTCATTACAAGTAATGATACTCGAATGAATTGTTACTTCATTACAAGTAATGATACTCGAATGGATTATTACTGCCATACAAGTAATGATACTCGAATGGATTATTACTGCCATACAAGTAATGATACTCGAATGGATTATTACTTCATTACAAGTAATGATACTTGATGGATTGTTACCTCATTACAAGTAATGATACTCGAATGAATTGTTACTTCATTACAAGTAATGATACTCGAATGGATTATTACTGCCATACAAGTAATGATACTCGAATGGATTATTACTGCCATACAAGTAATGATACTCGAATGGATTATTACTTCATTACAAGTAATGATACTTGATGGATTGTTACCTCATTACAAGTAATGATACTCGAATGAATTGTTACTTCATTACAAGTAATGATACTCGAATGGATTATTACTGCCATACAAGTAATGATACTCGAATGGATTATTACTGCCATACAAGTAATGATACTCGAATGGATTATTACTTCATTACAAGTAATGATACTTGATGGATTGTTACCTCATTACAAGTAATGATACTCGAATGAATTGTTACTTCATTACAAGTAATGATACTCGAATGGATTATTACTGCCATACAAGTAATGATACTCGAATGGATTATTACTGCCATACAAGTAATGATACTCGAATGGATTATTACTTCATTACAAGTAATGATACTTGATGGATTGTTACCTCATTACAAGTAATGATACTCGAATGAATTGTTACTTCATTACAAGTAATGATACTCGAATGGATTATTACTGCCATACAAGTAATGATACTCGAATGGATTATTACTGCCATACAAGTAATGATACTCGAATGGATTATTACTTCATTACAAGTAATGATACTTGATGGATTGTTACCTCATTACAAGTAATGATACTCGAATGAATTGTTACTTCATTACAAGTAATGATACTCGAATGGATTATTACTGCCATACAAGTAATGATACTCGAATGGATTATTACTGCCATACAAGTAATGATACTCGAATGGATTATTACTTCATTACAAGTAATGATACTTGATGGATTGTTACCTCATTACAAGTAATGATACTCGAATGAATTGTTACTTCATTACAAGTAATGATACTCGAATGGATTATTACTGCCATACAAGTAATGATACTCGAATGGATTATTACTGCCATACAAGTAATGATACTCGAATGGATTATTACTTCATTACAAGTAATGATACTTGATGGATTGTTACCTCATTACAAGTAATGATACTCGAATGAATTGTTACTTCATTACAAGTAATGATACTCGAATGGATTATTACTGCCATACAAGTAATGATACGGGGAACAATTCTTAACCAGAGGAACGATGATTCCTTTGTTACCGGTTGTTACACAAGGAACGATGATTCCTTTGTTACCGGTTGTTACACAAAGAACGATGATTCCTTTGTTACCAGTTACACAAGGAACGATGATTCCTTTGTTACCGGTTGTTACACAAAGAACGATGATTCCTTTGTTACCAGTTACACAAGGAACGATGATTCCTTTGTTACCGGTTGTTACACAAGGAACGATGATTCCTTTGTTACCAAGTAGGACATGCTCAACAATTGTTTGGAAAATATCTTTTTACCTGAAATTCACTGGTATTCGTTTTTATAACAAATAAAAAGCCGACGCTTTTAAATTATCTCATGCAATTGAAAAAAAACCTCAAAAACACAGCCTGCAAGAAACATCGCTAGAGGTGTCATATACAAGTTTCCTGTTACCAGAGAACAACCTGTTGCTTCAGTAAATTAATACTTACCTAATACACTTTTTCAGTAATTTACCTGTAGCAAGTTAGCATCAAATATTCTAACAGTAATTAGTATTTACTACACATGTAACAATCAGTTTTACACACCTCACATATTTTTTCAGCACTTAGTACTGACATCAAATAACGTAATATTCAAATTAGTACTCTCCTTAAGGATAGATAGATTTGTACTCACATAGCATCTTGAGCACTGCTTTTCTAGCTTTGGTGACGTTGAAAGGCACCTGTAGACTATTGCCGTTTTTCACTTGACTTCCGCCCTTTTTTGACACCCAGTTCGACACTTTTGGTTTTTTCTTCTGGTCCCCAACTAAACTATCCGTTTTGTTAAGTGTAATTCCGATTCTCACATACATCACAATTATAATTATCATAGGTAGCACAAAAAACACAAATGTCGATACTTGGAACATATATGTCATCCGTTTATGCCATTTGTACGGAATATTACACACCAGAGAGTCCTGAATAGGTTCTGACGTCACAGGGTCAAATGCGACATAGAACGTGCGCGTATGGAGGGGGTAAGGCAGGGCTATAACACTTGCAATAATCCAGATCACAAATATGACCTTCATAGCACGTGGGAGGCTAGACAAAGTTTGGAATCTCATTGGGTGACAGATGGCGGCGAAGCGTTCTATGGTAAAGGCGGTGATGGTCAACACTGAAGCATATGACGTCATTTCCGATATAAACGATTTCATGATGCAGAATCCAATATCGAATCTCCATGGATACGCTTCCCAGAATCCATAGAGTTCTGGCGGCAAAGCTGTAATAAAAAAAAAATGAAGATTATGTAACTTATTTACATTGTTTTGTACGGGTATTCACTCTATGTGCACTCCGTACAGCGATGGCAGCCTAACTTACGGAACATCTCTTTCGAGTTTTACTAGAAATTAAGCGGCCGACCTGTAGGGAGATTAGACATTAGATGCAGTCTTTCCAAAATGCAGTAAAAGTTCATTATATTTAGATATGTCGGTCTTTATAAAACTATATGTTAACGGAGTGTTTACAACTTTCAAAGTGTTTTTGTTAAAAACTCTCATTTTGACGGTACCACTTTGTACAGCTGGGTGGATGGGAATGACAATGACATCAGCTATGGTATCTGCAGGGAATTTATACAGACACATAGAAGCTGGAATTGTCAACCTTTAGACACGAAAGAAGGCACCGGCTTGTTTGTTTTAGTATTCACGTGCAAGCGATTTAATGGATTCAAATATCTAGAGCTTTGATCGGTGTTCGAAAAGAATAATAATAAAAATACATCTTTCAAGTCGTTATATCATATACATGCATACCATACGCAAAATAAGGTTTGTTTTTGGTTCTTTTTTCAAACGTCCACAAGACTGTCAAGGAATTTTCAATTTCATAATACTAATAAAAGAATGTGTTGTTTTTGTTTGTTTAAAAAATCGGTTTCATGACTCCTAATAAGACACAATATTTGTCGTCTTAAACCGGCCTTGAGCCCAGGAGGGTACATATATAGCTCAGACACTTATTGGAATATAATAAGAGGTTAAACGGTATGACAGTTTCCAACCCTATTGTAACACGTGCCGAAACAAGCAGTGTTGGCTGGCTGGCGATTTAAGCGAAAAAAAGGCTGCGCTTCCAGCCGATCACACCACAGGTCTGTACATGTACAAAAAGTGGCTCTGTGACTGCGAAAAACTTTGAAACTCTGAAATGGCGTGTTTTTGGAGGAAACAGAGATCTTGTCCGCGGAAGGGGAATATATTTAAAATGCATATAGGAGGTTTTTAAAAGAAAAAAATATCCATCTTTCCAACGGTACTAAGCTTTTTTTTTCGTACATCAACTAGAAATGTTGTTTTTGATTCAAGAAAGTTAGGTGGGGTCGACATTTCGACATCGAGAGCTTTCAACCCTTCTCGTAAATATAATCATTGGGGATGGCATTTTTACCAAAGGTCGATCTAAACCCCTAAAACATGTAACATTTCTCTGACTGAACACCAGGTCCAAATATACCTGTAAGAAATGTTCATGTCCCTGTGGGTAGGATATTGAAAATGTCGCATTATAATTTATGTTGTCTCAGATCAAGAAAAAACTGAGGCTAGACTTTTTCTGAAATGAATTAAACCGGAAGTAAAATGGGATATAGCACATACCGGGCAAAATTTAAGCGTGTTGGGCAGAAATGGAGCGTGCGGGCGGTATGGGTCGGACTTGTAGTATAGCATACCACAGACAAGTATATAATAACCATAATATCGTAGCACAAACAATGTATATAGCCACATATATTGATATTTAGCTCTTAGTCGAAGGGAACTTTGAGTAAAATAAATCGTTGTAGGATCCCCCGTTTTATAGTACATTGTAGATACTACTCATTTTCAGTTAAAGTTATCCCCTCTTTGTCAAGAAATGCCGTAAGAATACTATCCTTTCAAAAATACGGTAGTATAAATATGTTGGCATTTCGTTCAGATTTCACCTTGTTCTGTCGTTACACACTTTAATGAAAAGTTAAGCATAGCATTTTTGTATTGAACAATTACATCGAGTGTGTTACCTGAAGGACCCCCGCTCCCCCAACCCAGTTACACAATATTTTGAGACCGGTAGATTTAGGCAAGTGCTCTTTTCAGACAGGAAGCTNAGAAATGCCGTAAGAATACTATCCTTTCAAAAAATACGGTAGTATAAATATGTTGGCATTTCGTTCAGATTTCACCTTGTTCTGTCGTTACACACTTTAATGAAAAGTTAAGCATAGCATTTTTGTATTGAACAATTACATCGAGTGTGTTACCTGAAGGACCCCCGCTCCCCCAACCCAGTTACACAATATTTTGAGACCGGTAGATTTAGGCAAGTGCTCTTTTCAGACAGGTATCTATAGACAAGTGTTCTTTTCAGACAGGTTGCTATAGACAAGTGTTCTTTTCTATTCAATTTTGATACGATTTGATGTCAAAGCGATTTTGAAAGTAAAATACGATAACCATCTATTCAGAAACAACTAAATTGTATGCAGGCCTTTATAAAAGACTATCGTAATTTAAAGTTCCGCGATTTTCATAAAGGATCCATTACAATAGGATAATTAAAAGAATCCCTTCCATCCATATCCTTACACTCAGAACAGTCAGTTCTTAGTTGAGATTTTTTTGTGAATCTCAATAACATGAGATAGAAGGAACAGCCCTCCAAAATCGAGGTCATTTGAGTGATTGATGATCCAAAGTCAGATAAACGTTATTTGGGGTGGATCGCGTTGGCATTAAGAAATATCAACAAACGCTATCAAGACATCTTGACCAAACTCAAGACATTTTTTTATAACTCATAGCTCTATGACTGACATAGATACCATGAACCCCAACAGCACAACTTTATCAACCGCTGTGTCAAATATTGGTGTGGAGTTGTACGTGTTTTAAATGATAGTGTGTAAGTTGGCGTATGTCGGTACAAATTGCTGTTATGTTTGTTTTTATCAGTAATATAAATTCGATACAACGATATATCATGATAATAACACAAAACAAGAACAGGAATGAAATAACACATCAGTTCTAACCGTATCAGAGATTAGTGTTTATCGTCATTATAGGGAGAATGATGAGTACACCAATCCCTACACTGATGGAGTTATCGCTCTTGTGTAATATTGATCTCTAGCAATTTTTTTTTATCTTTTCCTTTCGGTAAATCATATGAAATCACATTTCATATATCGCACAACCAAAACAAAAACTCAGCCAGATATACATGTATACCACATATAAAGCAACATCAAAATAATCGTACAGTTGCGAAAATAATAATCTGTACAATACTTCATCCTTCCAAATGGCCACTTGTTGGTGAAAGGATGATTGTCTTGATTATCATTTCCCTAAAATTAAACAGATGTTGTATATATGTCTTAAAAGGGCACTGATTTTTTACATTGAAATTGAAATGAATGAAGATTTCGAAAGATGGAAGAAAATCTAATATTTGAACCATTTTCATGGTTTATATTCAGAAAAAAGGTCTGGATCAAAATTCAAATAGCTCAAAAAGTAAACAGAAAAAATCCATTTCTTCTTCCTATTTTAAAAAAACTACATCGAAAATACAATAAAAATGGTTTGTTTAAAGGAATGAAAATAAGATATTTGTTTCCAAGCGTAAGTACGGACCCAGCCTATTTTTTTTTATAAGAAAGCGTTTGATATACAGGCTTAAGGTATTGAAGAAAATTCACACGAAAATTTGAAAGAAGTACAGAATGGGCGTTAGACCATAAGGATGTTGTTGTTTTGACAATAAAGATACGAGTTAATCGCTCAAAATCCTCCTTGGACAAAGAAGTAATAACAGGTTAACGATAAAACGATCACATTAAATTACGTTTCTGGGCGGTTTGATAGTCAGTACATGTAGTGTTATGTACGTTCAATGAGAGTTATAAGGAGTTTTAAAAGAAATAAACACAGCAGGATATTTCAACAGGTGTACACGTAAACACCAGCTCAGATAATATATAACTGAAGCTTAAGGAGAACTTGTTCATAACAACTGTATTTAACTGTATATTACAAACATAGTGAGGACATGTTTAAACATAGAATTTGAAATTTGGTGGTACCTTCAACCATTTAATACATACGGTTATCGCTCTGAAATATACAGATTGTATTAGAAACATTTCGAGAACTAATAATGATTTTGAAAAGTTATAATGGTAAGATTAGATTATCAGCAACCTTTAAAACAGATTGTGTAGTTAAAACTAACTTTCTGTTTTCTTCTCAGATTTTGTTTTTATTACTTACATAAAATAGATTGAATCTTTGAAAACAGCGAAGAGATATAGTCTGCGGTACCACACACCGAGCTATCGGGCAGGAATAAAGTACATCACTTAAACACATCGTACAACACGGTTATAAGGTAGTTGAATTGCAACCACACATTTAAGGTAATTGATGAGTTACAAAATGTACCCGTCTAATGTGTTACCTGTATAATGTGTTACCTGTCTAATGTGTTATATGTCTAATGTGTTACCTGTATAATGTGTTACCTGTCTAATGTGTTATATGTCTAATGTGTTACCTGTATAATGTGTTACCTGTCTAATATGTTACCTGTATAATGTGTTACTTGTCTAATGTGTTACCTGTCTAATGTGTTATATGTCTAATGTGTTACCTGTCTAATGTGTTATATGTCTAATGTGTTACCTGTATACTGTGTTACCTGTCTAATATGTTACCTGTATAATGCGATACTTGTCTAATGTGTTACCTGTCTAACGTGTCACCCGTCTAATGTGTTACCTATATACTGTGTTACCTGTCTTATATGTTACCTGTATAATGCGATACTTGTCTAATGTGTTACCTGTATAATGTGTTACCTGTCTTATATGTTACCTGTATAATGCGATACTTATCTAATGTGTTACCTGTCTAATGTGTCACCCGTCTAATATGTTACCTGTCTAATGTGTTACCTGTCTAATGTGTTATATGTCTAATGTGTTACCTGTCTAATGTGTTTTATGTCTAATATGTTACCTGTATAATGTGTTACCTGTCTTATATGTTACATGTCTAATGTGTTACCTGTCTTATATGTTACCTGTCTAATTGCGCTACCTGTTTTATGAAATTCATCAAATCGTTTCTGCTCTAGCATGCTATAATATCTTACCACTGCCCAATACGCTATATTGCATGGTCATGTATTTGAATTGTGAAATGAAATTGTTCCTATTGTATAATG